GCCTTGGTGGATGACTTACACCGGGAACTGGACAGGAGGATTTTGTCCCTGATGGTTCTCAGTGGCTTTCACTACCATCGACCATGGGTCATCGACCTTCTGGGCCATCTCTCTGGGATGGGACTCGGAGGCACTGTTTTACGGTGGCTCCAGTCCTTCCTGGAGGGGAGAACTCAGAAGGTGGTGCTGGGTGACTCCTGCTCAACGCCCTGGCCATTGGCCTGTGCCGTTCCTCAGGGTTCTCCTTTGTCACCCGTCCTTTTTAACATCTACATGAAACCGCTGCCGCTGGGAGAGGTTGTCTGAGGTTTTGGGGTTCGGTTTCACCAGTATGTGGATGACACCCAACTCTATCTCTCCTTTCCACCTAATTCCAGGGAAGCTGTCTTGACTCTAAACCAGTGCTTGGCATCAGTAATGGGCTGGATGAGGGCAAACAAACTGAAACTTAATCCAGACAAGACAGAGGTGCTCCTGTTTATTCAGAAGGCAGATGAGCAAATAGGGATCCTACCTATACTGGATGGGGTTACACTCCCCCTGAAAACTCAGGTCTCTAACTTGGTGTACTCCTGGATTCATCCCTAAGCTTGGATGCCTACTTCTCGGGGGTGGCAGGAGTACATTTGCACAGCTAAAGCTGTGCCCGTTCCTTGACATGTGGGATCTGGCTACAGTGACACATGCCATAGTTATATCCCGTTTGGATTATTGTAACACACTCTATGTGGGGCTGCCTTTGAAGACAGTTCGGAAACTTCAGCTGGTTAAATAGGGATCCTACCTATACTGGATGGGGTTACACTCCCCCTGAAAACTCAGGTCTCTAACTTGGTGTACTCCTGGATTCATCCCTAAGCTTGGATGCCTACTTCTCGGGGGTGGCAGGAGTACATTTGCACAGCTAAAGTTGATGTGCCAGCTGTGCCCGTTCCTTGAGATGTGGGATCTGGCTACAGTGACACATGCCTTAGTCACATCCTGTTTGGATCACTGTAACACACTCTATGTGGGGCTGCCTTTGAAGACAGTTCGGAAACTTCAGCTGGTTAACTCTGCAGCCGGACGGCTGACTGGGGCCAGCTGCAGGGAGCATATAACACACCTGTTACAAGAACTGCACTGGCTACCAGTCCGTTTCCAAGCCCAATTCAAAGTGCTGGTCATTACCTATAAAGCCCTATACAGCTTGGGTCCAGGCTACCTGAAGGAATGTATCTCCCTATACGCACCTTCTCGGCAATTAAGGTCAGCAGACGAGGCCCTCCTCTCTGTCCCATTGCCAGCACAAGCACAGCTGATGGGGACGCAGGAGAGGTCCTTCTCTGTGGCAGCTCCCAGGCTATGGAACGCTCTCCCTCGGGAGATCAGGATGGCCCCTTTGTTGTTAACCTTCCGAAAAAAGCTAAAGATTCATCTCTTCAGACAGGATTTTAACAACTATAAATGAACCCTTGAAGCCCATTTTAGTAGATAATTTTAATCTGTTATATGTTTTTATCTTTCAGTCTTTTAATTGTATTTTGAATCGTATATTGTTTAACTCATCTTTTAATATTTAACTTATTGTGTTTTTAAATTGTGTGGATTTTAATGTTCTGAGCCACTTTGGGTCCCTTGTTGGGAGAAATGCATCATATAAATAAAACTTGAAAATAAAAAAAACTAAGATCTCCAAAGGGCCTCCAAAACAGACTTCCAGAAGTCACTGTTCTAGGTTGCTTTTCACAATGTTGATTTTTCTGCCCGGAACAGGCACAGGAATGTTGTTCCTGCAGACATTTGGGGGTTTGTTGTATCAGTCCCCTGTAGCTGGATGAAAAAGGTAAATTTGGTTGGTCTGCCTTACTGGAAGTCACAATTCCGGGCTGTTTTTCACAAAATCAATTTTTTTTGCTTGGAATGAGTTATGGAATGTTGGTCCTAAGGGTGATTTATGGCTTACTGCATCTGTCTCATCTAGTCACACATGTGTCATGAATTTGGTTTGATTATCCTACTGGATAATCAAACCAAAACCAGTGTTTGAGAAGTTGCTGTTCTAGGCCATTGTCTTCTGTTCTGCCTAGTTTGAGGACAATAAAGGGATGAAGGAAATAGTAATTTTTAGGTGTGCAGTCTACAATATTGTTCTGATATTTGTCCATTGCATCCCACAGTTTTTGGCATCAAGTTTTATTAAACTTTTATTCTGCCTTCTTCCGTTCCAGTTTTTACCTAGTTCCTGATTTTAATAACGCAGCTTCTTCGATTCAGCTGCACCCTATTTAAATCTATTAGCTCTATTAACAACATCACTATGGCCAGTGATTAATTACAGGTCTCTTCTTCCTGCTTGTTAATAATGGCCATTTTGTTAAGAAAGCTTTTCTTGAACTACCCTAGTTTTCTTGATTCCCTAGTTCATCACTAATTTCTGGCTGCTGCTTTCTACTATAAAGTTACCCATCTTCATAAAGTCACAAAACCTTCTGGACAAAGAAGCATCTAGATTCTTTCTAACACCAAGGTAATACCTTTTGCGAAGTGGCACAACAGGATTTCAGCCATGGTTTCTTGGTCTTAATTCCTCCTCCTTAAAACTGTTTCATTAGTGATTCTCTTGATCCAGTACATTATTAACATCCCATGATAAACCCACATTTCATACTCTTTTATCTTTTTATAGTAGCTTTTTTAATTTTTTTATTATTTAAGAATGATAGGTTGTGTTTCTAGTGACTAATATGATCAACAACTAATGGCAAGAAAATACTTTCCTATAAAGTAATATTGTAACATTCTCTTTTAAAAGCCATATTTCCAAGCTCTGGTGGAAATATAGCTTTTAAAACTCACAGATGATGCTGGGAGAGAGGTAGCAGCAACCTGAGGCAATATAGAGCTGTTTGTGCCATGTGGCCCCTTGTAATTCTCTAAGCTAGCATAAAACTCTCTTGTATGCTGAAGGACAATGCCCTGCCACCAGTGGAGCTGGTATATTACTTTTAAAAGCCATATTTCCAAGCTCTGGTGGAAATATAGCTTTTAAAACTCACAGATGATGCTGGGAGAGAGGTAGCAGCAACCTGAGGCAATATAGAGCTGTTTGTGCCATGTGGCCCCTTGTAATTCTCTAAGCTAGCATAAAACTCTCTTGTATGCTGAAGGACAATGCCCTGCCACCAGTGGAGCTGGTATATTATTATTATTATTATTATTAGATAGCAAAATGGCCTGGCCTGGCCTGGTGATAACAATGTTCTGCTTGACATCCACTAGCCCTGTGGCACACTGGATGAACTGCAGCACTGCAGTCAAGCCTCTGCTCACAACTTAGTCCAGTCCTGATGGATTCAGATAGGTGGCTCAAGGTTGACTCAGCCTTTCATCCTTCTGAGATTGGTAAACTAAATACCTAGCTCACTGGCACACAAAGTGTTCCTTGCATAATTATGTTGTAAACTGCCCAGAGAATGCTTTAGCACTATGGTGTATATAAGTCAAAACAGCAACAGTACTTGGAGAACAATAGGAACAATAGCAGCAGAGATTTATGGCCCACCAGTCCTGGTGGGCTTCCCATAGGCATCTACAGTGGTGCCTTGCATTACAATGTTAATTCGTTCCAGTGAAATCACTGTAGAACAAAAACATCGTAAAGCGATTTTTAAAAGCCCATAGAAATGCATTAAAACCTGATTCATGTGTTCCTATGGGCTTGAAACTCACAGTCCAGCGAAGATCCTTCATAGTGCGGCCATGTTCTCTGCCCGTGCAGCGAGGAATCCGTCCCAGAAAACAGCGGGCGGCCATTTTGAAACCGCTGATCAGCTGTGCGAAAATCTTCGTTTTGCGATAATCGGTTAGCGAACCAGGTAACCGATCATCGCCAAGTGAAAAAAACCCATAGGAAACATCGTTTTGCAATCACTTTTGCGATCACAAAAACTTCTTCGTTATGCGATTTCATCATTAAACGAAGCGCTCGTCTTGTGAGGCACCACTGTACTTGGACATGATGGGGAACAGGATGTTGATCTAAATGAGCTTTTTTTTCCTCCTGCCCAGCTAGGTCAGGCTTCTCTTAATCTTATTTGCTTTGAGTGGACCCCCTGGATTTGAATGAGGGATTCCCAGAGCAATGACTCATGCAAATACAGGATGTGCAATTTCATTCGAAAGCCAGGTAGATGTGCTGCATCTTTGCTTCAGAATTACTCACTGACAGATGCCATCACCCTGCTTGGAGATGGGTGGTGGGCTCATGGGGAGCCTTCCTGTTAATTGAATTTCTCATGGCGCACATGAGCTGTTCTCTCTTGTTCTCTCTTGGCAGGCTCCAACATGCAACCAATACTGCACAGAATCAGCAACCCCATGTAGTCACACACTCACTGCAGTCTGTTCTTACTTGGAAATCATTGGAATTATACTAGCTCAGTGATTTAGGTAGGTTGGGAGTTCGATCCCCCACTGTGTCTCCAGGGAGAAGAACCATCTTGTATAGCCTTGGGCAAGCTGTACCCAGGGAGCCCCTGGAAAAAGGGAATGGTAAACCACTTCTCAGTATTCTCTTTCTCTGGAAAACCCTAGAAAAACAATCACCATACATCAGAATTGATTTAAAAGCACATTTATTATTATTCAAAAACACCAGGCACAGTCAAAATTATAAAAACATTGACTGGTATTATATAACAGATACAGGTTTTAACTACAAACCTAAGTATCTGTTAAATATCGGTGCAGTATGTATGCTGTTCCTAATGCTGCCAATTTTTGTAGCACTGATGGTGTGATTTTTGAGATTTGCAGCTGCTTATAATACTGTGTGATGGTGATGATGATTTGGAAAAAAAATGTTTTTTCCAAACTCTAGGTCTCCTGAAATAAAATCCCAAATATAAAGCACTACATCATGCTAGCTCTCCTGATATAGTCCCTTTTTCTATTCACTTGTCTTTAACATGAAACGTTGGATTAATTCTATGACTTGGTCTTTTCCTTTCCTTGCTCAGGCTGCAAACTCATCTTCCCTCCTTGGGATGGCGGGATCCGTTACCGAGGCTTGACCCGTGAGCAGGTGAAGACGGCCCGCTTCCTGCCCTTTGACTACGAAATTGAATATGTCTGCCGGCCCGAACGTGAGATTGTGGGCCCCAAAGTGCGCAAGTGCCTGCCCAATGGCACCTGGACAGACAGCGACGTGGAGAGCCGCTGCTGTGAGTCTCATGGGTGGAGCATAAAAGAGAAGAGGCATCCTATTGCAATCAGATCTTGCAGAATTCACTTTTTTATTATTATTGTTGTTGTTGTTATCATCATCATCATCATCATCATCATCATCATCATCATCATCATCATCATCATCATCATCATCATCATCATCATTATTATTATTA